TCCTGCTGACTCCTTTAGAAGATCAAGGAATGACTGAGGAATTTGTTTCTGTTAAGGTGAAGGAAATTTGCCTTCACATGTGTTCAGCTACTGAACTGTATGTACATGGATAATTCCTGATGTATGAGGTCGGAAGAAACGTACTCCCAGACAGGCCGAGAGGTTTGCTGACAAAATCCGCTAAAAGCTAAAAGGGAAATGGCAGCAACACGAGTGAGACATAAAGCATTCTACTCCATAAGAACCTTTATGTGCAAAGGAAGCAAACAGAAAATACCTAGGCATATCCTTATCAAGAAAGAGCCTGTAAAAACATAGAAAGAGCTTTCGTTAGTGCAACCAAAAGCAGAACAGAAAAGCAACAGCTGAGAGGAGCAAACAAGCAGACCAAAAACAGCAACCAGAAAACACATCAGCAGACGATGAATGAACAGAACAGATATCCCTGACTATGACAGAGATTCCTCTCTGCCACCCCCTTATCCAGCAATCAAAACCTGGCAATCTGGTGTATCAGCTTCATTTCAGGCACCCCCGTCCCACCTCCAGGCAGCTTTCCCGACAGAGATGATGAAGAAATTTCCTTGCAAACAGGGAGCAATAGGGATATGCATTTCCTACTTCAAAATTCATTGAGATCTGACTGGAGGGCAGCAAGTGGCTTCCCACAGTCTGGTTACAGAGCGATCAGTGCCAAGATGTTAAAAATAAAAAAGCACCACCTGCTCCACATCATCAAATGGGTTCCACATCTCTCCCTTTCTGAACCATAAAGGAATTTTAATTGCATCTCCCCATCTCTCCTCCATCACTGCCCCCCTTCAAGCTCCACTGTGTCGTAGGCTTTGCAGGGAAGTGTGCTTGCAATCATGGTCACTTCTCCTTTTCTATTTATATGGACTTATCAGGAACATTTAGATGCTTATTCTTTATTGGAGAGATCATTTGAGCATTGGGCAGCAGATATCCAGGTTTAGCTACCCAGCCCCCACACAGCAATGCCTGCAGTTCTACGGTACCCTCTGAATACCCTACAAAGCAATGGATCTCTCTCTGCCATTTTTTCCTACCCATTTTCCTCCTCTTTGGTAGGGGGCATTCATTCTCTTCAATCCAGAAACTCTCCAAAATTTTGGTTTTACCTTCAAGACCTAATGGTCATAATGCTAGCCACTGTAAAAACAGAGGGGGCAGCACCTGGTACTGCAGAAGCAGTCGTGATTCCACGTTTAATATCAGAGCAGCATTCTCAAGTCCGAGTCTGTAGCTGAGGAGACAGGAGCTATTATGTGGAACGCCCACTAGTATTCAATAGTCAGTGAGGAGATGGGCTGAAAAGCATTTCTCCTCTCAGTTTTGATGATAATCTGCTCTTTGAGGGAGGTTCCTGCTCTGCACCCAATTTACAAGCTGGGCAGACAGAAATCCAGCGAGCGAGGTCAAGTGGCTCAGTTGATGTCAGAGAGGGGAGAAGCCCGGCCCCCGTTGCAGAATTCTGCCTCAACAGCCCTCGGTTGCAGATAATGAAGCACGGAACTACTGGGGACATGAAATCACGTCAATAATGTGCTCTCCTTAGGAAACATCCTCAGCCCCAGCCCCTCAGGAGAGACGGCTTTCTCACAGTGAAGAACAATCGCTTGCGGCCAACACTCCTTTATCATTTAAATTACACTGCGGCAACACTTGATTTGATCTCTCACTGGATGCAAGAAGGAAGACGGCAGGTCACTGCAGCCTTTGGAACAGTGCTGACATGCCGCTCGATTCTAACGCACAGGTCCTTCACAGGACCCCACTTGTTTGCATCTGCGTAAATCCTCCTCCCTTCCTGTGACTCACTGGGATGATAAAAGATGCACGCTAAGAGGCTGGGTTTCTATGAGCAGGGCTGATGCTTTAACATAGCGGAGGCCAACCTTTTTTGGCAGCTGTCCCCCAAAGTAAGCCCCACACCCCCCCAAATGCCACTCCAAACCCCTTCCCCTACCCAAACTGCTGCTCTTTCTGCTCTCTTTCCAATCCGCTCCTCTGTTTTCCACTCCCTGCACTATCTGTGCTGCCTTCCCCTTCTCTGATCTGCTGTGTGCCACACACAAAGGGTGCCTGTGCCACTTAGGTTGCAGGTTGGCCACCCCTGGTTTAACAAAAAAGCCTTTTCTGGATCCCTGACTGCCTGTCCCCTCCCTAAGAGTGGTGCGGGCATGGACAACAATCCCCACTCTGGGACTGTCCTTGTACTTTACTGCTCTGTCTTAAATCTCAATTACTATTTCAACCTCCTGGAAAAATTGTTGAGGCTCCTTTGAAGTTTCCCCTTCCCCTCTTCCATCCTCCTCTCATAGTACTTATGGAAAGGAGTCACCCAGCTGCAGTATGAGAAAGTCCCCAGTGTCTGACACTGGTGTAGGCAGATCTCTAACAGGTGACACTAAAGGTTAATACCCATTGTTCACCTGTGTGCATTACATCTACAGGCCTAGAAGTCCACACTGAAGCACTGTCATCCTTTCCAGCCTCCCAACACCTTCCCAGCAGCGCTGCACAACTGAGCCCTGTAAGGTTCTGAACCAGAAGGACTGCTTACACTCACTTCCTCAGCCTACCTGTTGGAGCTGTGAGATGACTTCAGGTACTTTGCAGAGATGATGTTCAGAGACAGAATGGCATCCACAGCAGCTTCATCTACCTCTGCTTTGTTTCTGATGCGCCCTGAAGAAAAAAATCATGCATCTACTGATTAGACAGAAACTGAAAGGCACAAGAGAAATTGCCATTTCTCAAGTGCTGTTTTATCCTGGGTATTTAGACAGGTAGTTCTAATTAGCGGTTCAAAACCATATATTTTTCTTTTGGTGCCCTTTCAAAAGTATCGCACTTCTGCTCTATAATTTGTGACAGTGACAGAGGAAATAACTGGAAAGAAAAATCCTCATTTTTTTATGCTTGCCTTCCTCACACGGTATCACACAACCAAGAAGTACTCACCAACTACCAGCTCTCGCACATCTTTCCAGTGCAGCTCATTGCCTTTTTCATGAATTATGGTGACTGTGATCCTTCGCTGGATTCCCTAGTGGGATTGAAAAAGCACAAAATTGGGAGGGGAAAAACCCCACAAGACTCCCCATCCCTTTAAGTCAAGCACATTTAGCAAGCACAGAGTTTACCAACACTCAAGTCTTGCCTGTCAACGGTCTCATAAAGGTAAAGAAGTATTTGTGCTCTTCTAGGTGATTAATACACTTCATGCAGAAAGAGCCTGTTTGCAGATCAAAGAGCAGCACCTATGCTCTTCTCTCTTCATCCTAAGAGCGATTTTGCACTCCAAATGCCCTAAAATGGCCCTCCTCCACTCCCAGGAAAGATACAAGTACCTCACAGAGAAACAGCAGCCAGCTACCCAAATCTTAAGGAAAAAGGCAGCGTGTGCAATACTCTGAGGTTTTAGACCACAGATTCCAGCAAACCCAACTTGCTAAAAGCAAGCTGACACACAAGTATTCCATAATTGAAGAAATCCCTACTACTTATAACCAGACAAGTCACTTTGGAAGTTTACAGACAGACTCCAGGACTGGGGGTTAGGCAGGGGGCAGTTTTAATTAGAGTGGCTCTGAGTGCCACTCTAATTAAAGCACCCAGAGCATCTTGTGTAGCACCACCATGCTTCAAAATGGTGGTGGGGGCAATTTATCTAAAGCTCGTTCAATGAGCTTTATATAAAAGTGCCCCCACTGCCATTTTGAAGCGTGGGGCCTCTGATACACGAGACATGGGAGACTGCTGCAGCGTGGTAATTGCCACGCTCCAACAGACTTGATTAATCGAGTCTGCTCCACTGTGCTGGAATTACAGTGTGACAGAGCAGCCTCCCTGCTTGTGTACAAGCACTCGTTATGCTAACTGGAGGTCTCCGACAGGTGTTGTCCACATACGTTCCACTATGTACAGGAGCACTTTCTCCAAGTCTTCAGATTAACATGCAGGCCCTTGGCATTTCTCTGTGCCCTTGTACTAAGGTCTTAGAAGACAGCATGAGCCCGATCACCGCTCAGTTCCTTCACCATTAGGGAATCCAGGTGTAACAAGGACCCCAAAGGAGGAGGAAAAGGATAGGTCAGGGGTGGATATGAACATCACTTCTCAAAGAACTCCAGTTTTGCAAGGTAAATAACTTTTCCTCTGAGTGCCTGCCCACTTGGTGATTCCCAAGCAGTTACACAAGGTAAAGAACCATATGTGCTGCACTTGCTTAAAAGACTGCACTACAGCCTTGCCAAAAGCAGCAGAAAACCCTCAGTGCTTCACTTGGAAATAGTGCTCAGTTAGAATATGGACTTAACGCAAGGTGCTGTCCCCTAAAAGGGAACACAGTCAAAGAAGCTGCCTAAATACCACGGGGGGAGGTCCTAATTAGAGAAAACTCAACACAAACCCTAATACAGTCCCATACCCATACCAGGATAATTTCAGCACTAACAGTGCTTGACTTCCTTTTGTCAATCAATGCTACAAAGAGTCTTTGAGAAATGCTGAGGAGCTTGGCCCTTTGCAAAGTAAAAGATATGACCATACAAATATCTATCCCCTGTACACAAAGAGCCTGGCATGCCATCCCCTGGCAGGGTAGGCCTCCAGTGTGATCAACGATAGCAGGGATGTATCTGAGGGAAGCACAAGAATGAACATCCTAGATTAGAGGCGGTCTTTACAGAGCAGGCAGCAGGACACTAGATAATGCACCTCTCACAGAGCACACCGGTGATACAATACCCTGACAAATGAGGCTCCTTCTGCTAACTCACAATCAGCCTCTACTCAACATGGACTTCTCCACGTACAGTGGTATCCTGCAGGAAAAGCTCTTTGTAAAGCACTGAGGATGAGGTCAGTGCAGTTCCTCTCAGGACAACTCTCCTGCTCTGTAGCATGGTTGAGCTCAGTGTAACACCTGCTGGACTGAGCTCTGGAGAGTGAAATCTCTGGGCATTCGAACAGCAGATGCCATGGGTTTGTTGTAGCAGCACAAGCATCCCCTGCACACTGCTCAGCCCACATGTCTAGCCTAATTTAGAGAAACAATTTTGAGGACTGTGAAGGAAGGCTATTCTCCACACTTCCAGTCCTTGGCCTTTCTGGTCAGACTGCCAAAAGTGAGAATAGTTAGTATCAGTTGCACTGATGGCCCCCTCCACCAATTTCAGACAAGTCAGGCAACCTTCAGGTGACAACAGCCAAGAATAACTAGCCTGGACTAAGCAGAACCCAAACTGCAGGGATCTGCACTCCCACAGACCACAATCCCAAATGTGATTAAAAATGGACTCACTCTCCTGTTGGCTCCAGCTCGCTGATCTCAAACCAGACAAGGAGATCATACTTGCTCACGCTCTGGCCCAGGCTCGTTTTGCTCATCGTATTAAGCTTTGTGGCTGGCACTTAAAGAATACAAACACCGTTCTCACACACTGCACAGGTAAAATGAGTCATACAACACTTTAGTTCTGCAATATCATCAGCGAACAGCAAAGTCAGAAAAACCTCTAAATGTGCGTGTAGGGGGGGATGTCGAACAATCAACTCACCTGAAGTTAAAAAGCCAGGAAGGAAACAGGAAACCAGCTGGGCAATGGAATGACTAAGGACTTGTGTTTTAAACAGAGAGTCCCTTCCCTCCCTCTACTGTCTATAAAGAGATGGAGGACCAGCTGTGACTATGAACCACTATAAGAGTTTTCCCTACTGAAGCAAAGAGTGAGACCCTAAGTGAAAATAGAAGGCCAACTTTCCATTAACCCACACAGAATAAAATTCCCCTTAAGTCACACATACAGTCATCATCTATTATAGTAAGGGACTTGTTTTAAAAAAATTGTGAAAAGGGTCATTGCAGCTTCCATTTAAGGTCACCTAACTCCATGAAGGGGTCGGGACTCATGGCACTTACCCTCATGGTGAAATGCCTAGACAATGCTGGCATGTGACAGACTGAAGAGAGTTTCCACAAAGGATAAATTCACTATAAATAGAACCTCTGTGGATCCATGAGTGGGAGAGTCCTGCGCCACCTCAAACATCCAAATTTAGAAATAGGCTATTTTTTTTGCATTTGGTTTAAAATCCTTCAGATGCAGCACTGAAGCCAGTATCTCCAAATTATGTTCTCAAGACAACAACACCTACACTGCATAGACCCTTTCTGACCTCCAGGGAGACCCATTTCAGCCCCTGCATGCTTGGAGTTTGGGCCTGCCTAGGTCTGTTTATCTTTGCCGGCACGCCTTCAGTGTTCAGGATCCTTCATGAAAAAGAGAAGGCCAAGATCCCAGAGATTCCTGCAGTAATTTAGGTTTGATGCCCTTTATATGTTACACCAGAAGGTATATTAGATTGTGCACTAAACTGAAGAGGTTAAGAGCAACAGAGTGGTAAGCTCTGCCATTTTAGATACAAGGTGCACATTTAAGGAGATTTGCCAGGACTACTTCCAGAGCAAAAGGTCCTAGAATCAAGCTCGGTGGCTCCCTTTATTCCAGGCTTGTCAGTTCTGCTGTCAGACTTACTAGCTCCTTTCATGACTAATGAAGAGACAAGCAGTACTTTACAGTGGGATCACAAGATAGCAATCAGACTTAACCTTTTTCCATTTTCCTCCCCCTCAAGCCACCCCTTCATGCTACCATTCTATCCAGCTATCTCTGCCTTTTTTTGTTTTTGTTCTACTCCTGGGAATAGGAAAGGTATTGAAAAATTGTGAAAGCTTCTCTCGTCTGCATGCAGCTCTGCAGCTTCCTCATCATTCCACCTGGTTTAACACATTTAGTCAACTGCTCCTACAGCATTATTCCCATGCCCTCCTTTACTGAAGACCAGCCTCAGCATTTTATAGCTTCTCCCATTCTTGCCTTTGTCTCCTGCCACTTCCATCATGGCCCAACTACATCCCTCAATGGAGGAAGCACAACCAGCTCAATGGGTAGCGATTAGCACATGTCCCAGTGCATGCACACAGGAGCAAGTCATCATTCTTTCAAAAGCTGTTACTTTAATTCTGCCTCTAGCTCCATGTCAAGCTAGCTGCAAACAGCCGACCCAAAAGAATGGGCACAGACTCGACTACAGGGATCAAAGTCAGATACAGCAGGACATCAGCGTTACACGAAGCAACGGGTTCATTATCATCACTTGCTATCTCCCATTCATAACCAAAACAGTCACCATCACTGTCTCGCATCTACCCATGCCACCAGCATAACAGCTGCAGTTGTGCGTATAGCATCCGTGAGCTAATGACAGCTGGACGTTGACAATGTTAACTGGGAAGGAGGACAAAGCACACAAGTCACTGGAGGCTGGGGCCAGAAAAATCTGGCAGCACTGGAACATCTGACAAATATAGATGAAGGTTTAAGAATATGTAGGCTGAGCCATCTTAAATGTTCCCAGAGGCTCTGGCAGCCAGGAGTGGATTTATTCAGAAACAGCAGGACCACCCAAGCCAGGATTCACTAGGATGTGGTGGTGAGGTGACCAAGCTGGACAGATAAAAGAAAGGGGAGCTTCAACAGACACCCTCCTATAAAACTCAGCACTTAAAGCACCTTTCCTCTGAAGGTATCAATGGGCACATACACAAGGCAGCAGGCAGCTGCTCCCATTTTACAGATCAGAAAATGGAGATTCAGATATAGTTTCCGTGGCAGGAACAATGTCACTGTAACTATGACAGAGGTAGGATCAGAACCCCGAAATGCAGACTCCCCACACACTGCTTGCATCAGCACATCCATGCTGCATCATCTGCCCACTACAAGGACTACCAGCTACTCGGGATACCAGAGGGCATAAATGGGGCTGAACTGCTTTCGAGCCAGAGTGTGGGATATTTCTACATCTACCAAAGGTCAAATCTGGCTACTAACCATCTCGTTTGGGAGCCCGCTCGCTCTGACAGCTGGGAATAGGCAGAAAGAGAAAAGGTGGCAGCTGGTCAGCCCCGTCCTGGAAAGCAGCCATGGCAGAGTACGTGAGCACGTGGGCGTGCTCAGACAGCGCGTTCAGCACATGCGTGTTTACATAGCCAGACATGAGATACCTAATCAACTGGATTTTTCTCTCATGGTCTGAAAAGGGAATGGAACAAGGGGGGAAAAAAGGCCATGGAGACAAGCAGAAAGAAAGGAAAGAAGATGGGAGGGGAGGACAAAAAATAAAAGAAAGAGGTCAACATGCACAAGTAAATTAAACGAAAGAAAATGGAAGGATCACTGTAAGAGTGTTAATGAAAGCAAAGGCAGATGGGTTAACAGATAAGCAAATCCCGGGACACATGCTCAGTAGCCACACGTAATGGTTCCCTAGCTAAATCGGGGAGGATGGATTGGACACTTCATACACGTGACTGCACTTCTGGCATGACTCGAGAAACAATTGCTCTGAGGTGAAGTCGGGACAGAACTCCTGGGAATGAACAATGTCTGGGGCCTGCCACAGTGCTCTCCATTTCATTTGCTCAACCATAACCGACTGAATACACTTAGTCCTCTGCACCCTTATTTTTAAGCAGCAAGTGCAGACACACAGACACAAGGAACAGCTTGATGTGAAGAATTTGTTCATTCTCACCTGGCTTCGACAGTGGCATGGGGGGAGGGAAGAATCGCCGGGAGGGCTGTGGAGGGCTGCGGAAAGAGACAACAGTTACCACCCCCATGCTTCCCTCATGCTGCCCCTCCAGTGTGCTCCCAGCTTGGCTGTACAACTTCTGCCAACCCCACTCTTCAAACGCAAAACAAGCTGTTCAGGTAAATGCACAGTTCTGCTGACAAAGCTGCATCTATACAAAGGACCTTGGTGCCATAGCTATGTTGGGATCACACTTCAGCCTCTGAAATGACAGTCAGGCCAGCAGAAGTCTGGCTGCTTAGGCCAGGTCCACAGCCTGAATATCGAGGCCAGGTATGGAACTCCAGAAGCAAAGAGGAGAGGTGGGTATGATATCTATCCCCACATTCAGGATCCTTTCTACTAGGAAGCACTATCACAGAGAGCTTTTATAGAGGAAATGGCCAATACCTGTTGAGATCCTGTCCCTGAAGGTGGGGAGGGTGCTGTTGATAGTGGCCAAAGACTTCAAATACAATGGGCTTGGTTTTGATGTACTCAACAAAGGACTCTGTCACTTCTACAGCAATCTGGCAAGCAAGGGAAGAGGAGATCATCAGGGCAAAGAAACAGACAAGGAGAGCCTCCCCGCAGCCTCACAAAGAGAGACCAGGGAACCATGTGTCTTTTCCAAGACACTGATGGCTTAATTGAAGTGTGTCACTCCATGAGGAGCTGCATTCCTGATTTTATTAAGATGTTAAAAATGTCATCAGGTGTTGCAGGAGAAACAGAAACCCCCTGAACTAGGTACACAGCAGGTAAGGAAAGGATGCAGCTACAAGGTAACTGTAACAAGATCGTCATTCATTGATGAAGCTGCCCACTCTTCAGTTAATTTGGCAGCAGGGGCAGGGTTTTTCATGCTTTCTATTTCCTAAATTTTCCAGCTGCTTCTATTGCACACTCCTGTGTCCTAATAAGAGGAGTGAGCGCACAAGGAATTCAGAACCAGGAAGGGGTGGGGAGAAGGGTTAAACTCCACACCCTTGCAAAAAGGCTTTGTAATTCAGTCACCACTAACAGGCTCTATTTTCTCCACTAGGGATTACATCACCCATTTGATCACTCCTCCTATTGTCTACTCTTCTGTGCGCCCTCCCCCTTTGCTACACATGCTTGACTGAGTAGGCTAACAGGAAGACAATGTGTATTCCCTAGTGCTAAAATCAACTTAGGCAGGATCCTCCCCTAGTCCTTCATTCTTCATACAGAAGTGCTGAGTTTCACTTACATTCTGAACATGGTAAAACCCAAGTGGAGTCCCCCGGCCGTTGTTTTTGAGAGGCTCAGTGGAGAAAGCTTCATCGTGTCGGTGTAAAAAGCTAAAAACAAATAAAACAGCTCAAATGAACAAGACCTGCTCTGCATGTTAGCCCAACCCTGGAGAAAACGGCACATTTCTACTCTCCTGGGCTGCCATTTAAGCAAATTTATCAGGGTTCCCCCTTTTGCCCCACCGCTTGCCTTGCATTTCTTCCCCTGTTCTGTTGGTTTATGTATCCACTACCCTCCCTTTTCGTCCTTAATTTAACATCTAAATGGAAACAAAGCTTTAGCTGAGATCTAAGTGATGTACTGTGCTGCCAGCCTTTCTGATCCTAGCTAGGTATACGCACAATCCAATTTTATTGCATACAGACTTTATAGGGCCTGAACATCTATCAAGTGAGACATAAATTTATTCAACATAAGGAATTGCTGGGTGTTATTGATCTCATACAGCACCCATCACCAGGAGGACTTCAGACTCCTTCTCTACAAAACTTTGGCATGGTAGGACAAGAGAGGAAGAACTGGCTGTTCAGTTGTAATTCAGTCTGTGAGGCTTTGCTCCTAGATGCCACATTGCTGCGAGACTGAGGTTTGTTCAGGGCAGGACTTGGGTTGTGACTTTTGCAAGAGGCTATTGTCATAATGACCCCCTGGAAGCTGCTCAGTCTGAGCTGCAGCTACTGAGGAGAAAATGCCGTTTACCCTGCCAAAGCCCTCCCCTTCTTATTGAGGGCTGGTCCTTACTTGAACTGGCAGAAGATGTCTGCATATTCTGGTAGGATGCCACTGGCCTGCAGCACTGTCACGCGGAAGGTGAACACGCTGCCCAGCTTCAGGTGGTCGCCAACCTCATCAGTAAACCCTTCCATCACCATCTTCCCATCCAGCAAAGTGCCCGACTTCAGGTCTTAAAGACAAACCAACAACCACACAAAACTCCTCAATTTAGTGCATCAACAGATGCTCCCTCCCACACAGGAGGGGTCAAGCCCCCCACTTGCCAGGCTCCCAGAACACAAACTCCAAACTCTTCACTGTTCTGTGACCAGTTTTGAAAAGTGATTTGATGGAAACAGCAAATTGTGGAGATGAACGGGAATTGCATGGAATTGCAAAGGAGCTACAGCTCAGGTGGCAGAAAGCCTGTGTTACAGATAGAAGAGGGACTGAGGCATTTGTCCCAGGGCTGTTTTAACCTTTTAACCAGCTGTTTTAAACAACGGGTGCAGTAACCCAACTGCAGTAGACCTGGTGAAGGCTGGAGGGTTAAGAAAGCCTCAAGCCTATGCTCTAACCATGCAGAGAGCAGTGCATGGCTAAAAGCTACCCGAGTTCTTGTGACCCATGTCAAGGACTAGCAGACTGCCCAGACCTGCCTGGGTCTCTGGCTGATGAGATCTGTCTCCCAGCTAGTTAACCGGTTGGCTTCCTGATTGGCTGCTTGGAGCTCAGGCCCCCCACTTATTCCAACCTGTAGCAGCAGCCTCCAGGCCAGCCAACAGTTCTGACCCAGTCTGCTGTGGCAAGCCTGCTGGTTTTCCTGATTTCGGCTTGCTCCAGGACTCTGGCCTTGGATTTCCCTGTGGATCTGTTTCCTGGCTCCTTACTCCAGTTAGGCTCTGCTCTTGGGACTGTGAATTATCCCTAGGACTTGGTAACTCAGCATCTGATCCCCAAATCCTCACCCTGGACTGTGTTGTAGACTCTGCCCCTGGATTTCCCTCCAGATTTGCTAATGTGGCTCCTAAACTCTGACCCGGCCCCTGCCTTCCCCCAATGTAACCATTAGGCCAGACAACCTATGCCCCAAGTCCCTTACAATCTACTTGTATTAGAACCACAAGAGCGACTACTATCATCAAAGCTACACACAGGAAGAATGAACAATCCTACAGTGGAAAAGGCCCAGCCTGTATTGTTCCTGTGGAAACTGTGGTATCCCCAAATTAGGTGCCAGGTTCATCACCAGTGAGCTGGTAAGTTAAATCTAGGTTTTAACCAGAGTTCTTCTCTCCCCCAGGCACAGATTTGAAGTAGCAAGCAGGAAAATGCACACAGCCATTGCTAACTTAACACCACCTTGAATAAGAGATTTCCAACCACTCAAACCTCTCAGCACAGCAAAAACTCTGAAGCAACTGAGACTCAAAAGCTTCCCTCCAGGTGCTATGTCATCATTCACAAAACGAAGTTGAAAAACTAATCCCCACATTATGCATTATGTACCTTCCTGTCCCCATCAGAGGCAACATCCCTCAGACTGTAGCACAGTATGGAATGAGACTCAAAACCATTCTTCACATTCAATTACAATGAACTTATGTTGGTCCCCTCGAGTCCCAGATGGTACTGTGTCTTGCTTACTTACCTAGATCATTCATTCTGTTAATCTCCTCTGGGGGAGTGATGACCTCTGAGCTCTGGCCTTGCCCTTCCACAATTCTCAGTTCTTCTAATGACAGTCCAGATCGAGTCATTGCAACTGAAGAAAAGTCACTCTGAAAAAAGAAAGACAGACGCTTCAGGTGACAAAGCCATGCAGTTCCCAACAGCCCCAGCCCTTCTTTCTTGTATTATCCAGTCTATGTTCAGAACTGGACACACTGCTTCCCTCTCCAAGAAACATTAAGACACTGAAGATTTTTTTACCTTATCAAAGTATTCATTATCAAATGAGATTTTTGCTGTGCCAGACTGCCGAATGCCAGATCCATAATCCGGGGCTTCTTCATCAGCTACAAAACAAAGAAACCAGACCGCTGAGGAAAAATTTAAGTCCCCTTTATGGCAAGATGGATGAGACTGTAAACTTGATGGTCAAGTTAGGGAAGTCTCTGGAATTATGTAATACTAGACTGGAGCAAGTGCCAGAAAAGTAGAGAACTACCCAAACACTGGCCTTGCAGAAGGGCATGGAAAAGACCAACAAAATAAGTTAGAAGGGCCCACTGTTAATACAGGCTAATTTATCAATTAAATAAATACTCACTAACCTGTGCAGAATTCATAGGTGTAGAACTATGTGGTACTGATTTTTATTGTACACTTGCCAGTTTATGAGCCAAGTGAATGAATACCATGAAAATATAATGACCAAACAGAATAGAAATGAAAGGAAAATTTAAGTCTCATCAACTGGAATTGCATAAACCTAATCAGAGAGTTGACTGTGAACCTATTGGCAGAAGTTTTCAGTTCCTGTCCACAGGCTAACTCCAGTGATCCACGTCACCACACCTCCAGATCCTTCGCTATAGGGGATTCTTGCTAGAGACAAAGATGCATAAAATAATGCTGCTCAGAATCATTTTTTATCAATCCACTTCATTCACCTAAATGTAAACCAGGACCTGTAGCTTTCATGCTCTTTCCAGGAATTACACCGGATGTATGTTAATGACAACCTCCAGCCACCAAAGAATACCCAATAAAAGAAGCAGCTTTACAGAATAGGGGAAAAAACAATCCAAAGCTTTTTAAAATAGGTTAAGTAACTGCCAGTCTACCAGTCCTGGAGACAAAGATCCTCTACATACAGAGTGAGCAGCATGACTCCACCACCATGTGAGACCCTGGCCAGGAGGGGCTGTCTGTCTGTATGACCCATTCATTCCTGGGACTCTCTGTGGAGTCTGCCAAGAAGAGGGCCCAGTTACATGCCAAGGTATTTTCCAACAGTAAATGCATGTTATAGAAGTGAGCCCAAGGCTGATAATGCCTTTAGAAATTTCACTCAAAGACCAAACAAACCCACAGCCAAATTTGAAGAGATGTTCCAAAATCAATTCCTAATTGCTACAGTTTGCTCTTTCATATCAACCACTTAGATGCATTAGTGTCAATGCCAAGAAGAACTAGCCAGGCTAGAAGTAAACTTCTGGATGTATTTAAACACATTTCATTTCATCTGCCATTTTAGCCCCTGCCAGAGACAATCCCAGACTCAGTGTCTGAGACCTCATCACATGTTCCCATGGAGAATGAAGCCCCCAGGGCTGCCTTCCTAAGACAACAGACAAAGGCTGGAAGTTTGCCATTGCTAGAAAAGACAGATAAATTACAGGAAGCATCTTGTGCTCTCACCAAGACAGATAGTGCATGGCCAAACAGCAAGCATAAGCCTCGACTTGCTCACGCCAGAGTTGAAAAGGACAAAATGCTAGCAGTCAAATAGCAGATTAGAGAACTAGCCATGCAGAAAATGTGATACCCTCCTCCCTTCTCCCAAGGACTTGGGCTAAATCAGTCAAAGGAAGGAGCAGTTCAGCTGCCTATTCCCTCCCACCCAACCTCCCCTTAAAAATCAAAGCATTTTCCTCCTGGAAAGCAACAGGAATGTCCTACTTTATCCTGCAACCCCAGCTAGACAGATTAACACCGTGCTTTGAAAAATTATATAGATAAATCTGATCTGTGGTGCCCATTCATTAAAAAAAGAAATGTGGTTGATGAAAAGATGCCCAAAGCAGACTTTGAGCTTCTTACCTGCAATCGCCTGCACTGCCACACGCAGGAATCCTCGCACTTCCCCCTTCTCACTGACAACCGCTACTCTGTGGATGAGGGGCACCGGGTACAGCAGATTGCTTAGGTATACAAATGCCCTGGTAATAGGAAGGAAAAAAAAGCATTAGGCTATCACCTGTAAGAACATCAGGACTGACTGGCTAACAGGACACGCAAGCCTTCACACAGCCTACTGTCTGCAGTTTTGCTAGACCACAAAACATTGTCCTGTACTGCTTTTTGTACTCTGACCGTACAGAGTTCCTTGAGCACTGTCAAAGCTAACTATGTGAAAACACAGACACATTAAACCAGAGGTGGCTGGAGCTAACATGTCTACATTAGTGAGTTAAAGAACACACAAAGGGAACATTTAAGATGCCACCGTATCAAAGATGACTTTAGATGCAATACAATTGTAAATAAAATTGTTAGCAACACTGAAAATTTAAGAGAATCTATTGCATGTAAAGTGTCATTAGAAAGCTCTCCATGCTACGAAGCATAGTCTAGAGATCATTAGAAATTACAAATTAAAAGGAAAGTGACTGTGTTTAGGCAACTTCATAAGTCATTTTAGTTTAATATGCACAATCACCATATAAAATAGATTTATGACTGAGCATTTTCTCTCCTCTCTGCATACTTTATTATACTGCATATATATGTTAATTATCAAGATTCCCAAATTATAACCATCTTTTGAGTTTCTCAGCAGATCATTATTGAGGATCTTGGAAAGTACAGTATTCCCCACCAAGAGGTATCTTGGAATGCTGTACGTTTCCTTCTCCTGTAATAAAAGCACCAAAATATTCTGGAGAAAAAGGTCCAGAACACTGCAGCTTACAGCACGGTGAACACAGCAGTATTTGGGGCCAATACTAGAATACACTGCAAAACTTATTAGAACATAAAACATTTAAAACAACTTGGGAGCGCAGTTCGGTTAACATGTTTTATTGTTGCCTCACCTGAATTATCCTTTAAATAAACCAGTTATGCTAGAAAGTTCATTTTCAATTTTTTGTACTTAAAAGACTCGCTTAAAAAGGCAAACTTCAGGGTGGGAAGAGGAGCCCCGATTAAAGTGGAATGCTGAATAATGCAGAGGAGTCCAACAAATCAAGTCTGTGGGTAGTCCTCCAGAAAAGGAGAAAATAGTGGAGTAATTTGAGTTGGTAGAGGCAGAAGTCTGAGATTTTAAAGAAAGCATTCTGGGAGGGTACATAACACTCCCAATAGTAGGCTTCTTATCAATCACTAAATTAGAAATCTACTTAACTGCTTGGGTGTTCCTATCAGATGATTCTAGATGAATTGAGTGACCTATATTAGAGCATGGGTCACTCACATAGCAGTGTTTCTCCACTGGATGTTATAGCCAAGGTCAACTACTCCTCCAATTTAGAGCATTTTACCATTCTCTGGGCATAGGGAGAAAGCCTGGAGGCCCAATATAAAGATGGAAGAGAAACGTGGTGCCCTGCTGCTCCTGCCCAGACCCTCAGTTATACAAGCTGGTCACTGGGCACAGGAACAAAAATTTAGCTTAATTCCTTGTGATCATAGTCAAAAACCCAAGCTAGAGAAAAAGGTAAAGATGTCTCTCCCTGGATTCCCCTCCCCTCAACAAGTGTTTCCCTTAACATGAGGAGGGGTCAAGCAGGTATCAGTTGCAAACTAAAAGAGATGAAAACTCTACTTAAAACAAAGTGACAACGAAATGTAATACAGAAGAGAAGGATTAATAAAGCTGTAAGAGCAGCAAAATAAAACGCCAACAAAAATATACAACAGAAAAGCAACTGCAACTCAACACTGTAATAAATGAAGTTAGGATCTACTTCCTTTTCAGTCTGCTTCAAAGTGAGGTAAAACACTCATAAAACAGGGGAGGGGAGGAGCGATTCAAACTGAAGTGACAAAAAGAAAAGGCTTGTTTCTTGTAAGAAAAGATTTTCACTTTTAGCCTAAAATTTTCAAGTGGTGCTAATTTGAAGGAAAAGCAGCCCAAACAAACAAACACAACAAAACAACACGTACTAAATGAGTTGCAATCAATCACACGGACTGGACCAGGAAACGAGCTCAGGAAGATATGGAGGTTACCATCGTCATCAAGCAATGCACACAGTTCAAAAATCCCATTTCAAGCCCAGGGAAAAGAGACGCCTCCAAACAGGAATCTGGTTCAGCCTTGTGTCAGCGTGTATATAGTACGAGACAGCTCTCAGACTAATACAAACAGTCTCTACAAAGGCCTTCTTCCTCTAAAGCTAGAGCTACCGGACCACTCCATCTCAACATGGCAAAGGAAACAGTTATTGACATATGCGTGGCCCATATTTTGGAGCCACGGTCCAACAGGATGGATAGCAAACACAGTCAGCCTTAGGAGGTAGCTGCAATTGGAGAGTCGCCTTGGTAAAATGATAAATCCCAAAGAAGAAATACATGACTCATCTTCCACTCGCCTCCATCCCATTGCCTAGCTGCGGGCAATCGTTTTTAAGCACACAAAGAACCTCAAGTATGGAACGGAACAGCTTAAGCTTCCTGTCTGGTGAAGGAAAAGCTGGATATCCTCTGTGGCAAAGACAGCACACTTTGGTTGCTGTGGCTGTACGAAGAGGAGAGCTGTTTTTAGGCAGCAATTCCACCTTTCACTGCTGTTCCACCCATCACACCACAGGACTTACTGGATCCAGTGGGGTGGATGCGTGATTAAGGGTCTCCTTCTCCCCTCCCCACACCTCGGAGAGCAGTTCCACTTTGAGTCACCCCCACGTGCAAATGTCCCTCCTGCACCTTAGCCCAGCAGACTGAAAGGGGGGAGGGTATTAGCAGAAAGATTGGTGAGGTAAAATGGCATACTCACAACAAAACCAGAAATGAAATTTAACGAACAGAAATCGTCACCAAAACATAAAAACCAACAAAACTCAGAATGGTCATGACGCTTTTTCTTTAAATAAACACAACATCGATTTGGGATTTAAAGAAAATGCAGCGTAACCCTTTCCCCCGCTCCCACAAAATAGATCCAATATTTGATGGGTCACACCATTAAATAGAGTCAGAATTGTAACGACATCCCAGCATGCCAGAAGAGATGGCTAAAGGGATCAGCTCTTTATTTTGTTTTATTTTTTAAAGAACTACAGTTCTGTTAAAAGGCAGACACCACAGAAAATGAAATGCTGCAGTTGTCTTAATAAGGGCTGGGTGATTAACTAAACAACAAATGTCACCGGCTCATCCTCATATTTGCATCAGCGGTGAGCACAGGTAAGACCTGTTATTCCATTGTACTCCCTTCGTTACACACAGCAATGCACAGCTGGTTATAGTGGGGCTTTTGCTTCAATCTGACATGCATTACTGGCCACTGCTGGGGGACAATGCCTGTCTCGATGGACATAGGATTGGACCTGGTTAAGTATGCTGCCCTATAGAGAGTGCACAAAAACAGAACTCCCATACTGGAAGACACTAAAGAATAGAAATCCGTTTAGCTCATGGATGCTACAGAACCCTCTTTGCATGGTTTAGTCATAACTCAGCTGCAGATTACTGCAGCTCTGAGCAGCATAAAAATAATCCCATTTAAACTATAGGTAAAGGGAATGGATTGAGAATCAGATGCCAGTTGGACAAACCGCGTGGAAATTCAGGGAACTATGAATGCACTTTTACTCATTAAAAGTAATGGTGAGAAATAAAGCTCTAACAGGGACAATTGACATGGCTTCAGAACCGTTTCTCAACTGCATAAACATGCCTGCAGATGCAATACTCAGTGGGTTTTTTTTATATGTGGACACAGGAAGCAAGTTACATAATGGCAAGGAAGCACAAGTGATCTCTTTATACACTGCAGTGGCTCAGGCTGTGGAGTGCTTCCTGAGGAGTTTGGACACTATAACTGTGAAATGAAGATGAATAGCTCAAGTTTTTCCCAAGCACTGACGGACCTACTCTGACTGAATATACACAATGGCATAATATGCCAGCACTGTACGAGAAAACATTTTCAGCAAGTATGCAGTAGGTGGTTTCCAACAATTAAACAGGCCAATTAAGAAAACTGGACACCAAAACCTACTAGCTTGTATGACACGGAGTAATCTGAAAACTCAGGAGTTTTAAAGTGTGGCTTTCAAGTGTTGAGCACTAAGGTACCATAGGTCTCAACAGGCAGAGGACTTGTCTGCTCCCTTCTATCTTTAATAACCATTTTTAAAGAGAGTGGGTCCAGGAGCTTGAGCTCTAATCACAACCTTTAAAATAGGCCCCTCCATTGACTAAGTTAAGACGCTCAATACCCAATTCAGTTTTCTCCATCAGTGAGCTGGCCAGCGTGCACATTCGCCACATCATAGAAACTAGCTGAATCAGAAAAAGCAGTAAGCATTTTCGATACAACTTCCTGGCATTTGGCAGATAACTCCTTAGCCATATCTGGACAAGGAATTTAGCTGATGTTCTAAAACATGCTAAACAGGCAGCTGACATGATACTTCAATTCCATATAACGTGTTGTATAGATAGGAGTTAGCATCTTTAAATATGCATAAAAGCACCAGTTCACAAGTTTTTAACAACATCAAACACTCGCTACGCTATGGGGAATTCAAAAACTTCTTAAGCCCTCTGCTTAAGAACACCACCTCACCGCTATTTCAGGCAGAGCCCTTGAGATGGGTTCTTTTTCAAACCTGGAATGTCCATTCTACCTAGTCTAAGCAGAGGATGTCTGAAGAGTTTTCCAGAAGTAGACCTAGTAGATGAGTTTTAAAGTTTTCTCTATAATTCTTGGAATCTATAAATTCCATAAATGCCTATTTCTGGATATGGCAGTTTAAAGATGCGTTTGGTCAATGATCTCTGTACTATAAGATGAAGGCTCTGCAGTCTCTGACAAGAGCTGGTCCCTTTTGGCCATTCTCACAGTAACCTCACCAACCTTCCCACTAAAATGAACCAGGGGGACCGGTCGTAAAACGGGTCGTGCCCATCATTGAAGAGGTCCGATCCCTCCTCGGTTCCAGCGTCGGAGCCGGTATCATCCACAAAGGCTTCGTCATCAAAGTCCTCCATCTCATCCTGCTGCTCATCGGCCAGTTCAGTGATGTCGGAGTCAGCCGTGGAGAAAGTGGGGGAGGGTGTGCGGTCAGCAAGACGCTCATTCACGCAGCCGTGGAAAATGGGGGAGCTAGATATCAGTTAATGGAACAACTTTAATTAACACACCAAGGGGAGAAGAATGCTTCATTCAACACTCTGCTGCTGCCATCAGCATGGAATTCAGCTGAAGAGCAAGCAAGAGCTTCAGATCATTTGGGGTGAGATGGGAGGAAGGGAATTGCTGAGAGAGTTAGGGGAAGAAGAGGTCCTTGGACTGAGCAGAAAGCAAAGGAAACAGGAATACAAACAAGTGTGACCATATATGGTTATTTATAATGCTATTATGCTTTTACGTAACGAAGCTATAACCTGTTATTCCACCATTATTTTTTAAATAAAAAGGCGGCTCAGTCTCAGGAAGTATTAAAGAGCCTCCAAGATCTCTTTACTAGATGTTTAATCTTCCCAAAATGATGACCAGTACTTGAACATCATGCCCACATGAAGTCCTGGACCAGTTTCCCCCTGGATTTTCCACAACTCTTCAGCCTCTCAAGAGCACTACTCCAATCACTTCACACAATGCTTAACTAGCTCTCTTTTTCACAAATAAAGCTTAGACCTAATTGAGGGTGAATTCAAATAAATTGGACTTGGAAAGGCTGCACACCTGCATCAAGAAAATTTTGAACAGCACTTCCTGCTTTTTACCAGTGTTTGGATGGAAAATCAGAAGGGTCTACCAGATAGATCACCAATCCCTGAGAGACCATATACACAGCTGACACTATTGATTATGCAGTTTAAAACTTGATTTGAAGTCCAAAGTTTGTCCTAGCAAGGACAAAAGTTGGTGAACATACCAGCAGATGGGATTGTCATCACATACCTTCCAACCAGCTTGAACCAGTGAAATCTATCATAGAAGGGGTCACTGCCAGTCATTGTGCTCTCACTCTCATCCTGTGTGTTGGATGCCATCTCTCCAGCCCTGTCATACATCTCCCGCATCAGCTCCAACCTCTGCCTGTAGAGAAAAAAGCAGCCCCCACAACAATTAAGATTTTGCATTTAAAATTTCCTTACTGACAGGACACTAACACTGGTGCTCAGTTCATAATTTAAAAAAAGCACAACTGCAAGGGGGAAAGCAGGTTGACCACAGGAACAGGAAAAAGCATTAGAGTTAAATGGACAAAGAGAAGAAAAACACAGAGAGGAGGAGCCAGAACGGGCAGGTTCTCTACTGTACTAACATTTAACATAATGTTAGAGATCACCGTGATGCCCAAGTTGCCATCTTTTGGGGCAAAACTGCTGGATGAAAGGCAAAATGCAAGACCAACCAGGGTCCTTAATCAACACATCTCATTTAGAGTAAATTCATCTTTGTCAAATTTAAATTTTCACAAGTTCTTCCTGAAGTGTCAAGTGGGCACTTTCTGCATCTCCTACCCAGCATTAGCCTCTAGCATTTCTGCTCACTATTAAACAGATGCTCCGCTTCTCTCCAAAAGTGGTGGTATTTTTGTGAACAGATCTCGCTACAAACTTTATTTAACTCACAAGGACAGAAAGATTATTGAAGACATTACAAAATGCTTGAATTGCACCCTAAGCCCGTGTCCACATGTGCGTGGACATTTGGTTCCCTGGGGACAACTAGCACACCTTGTACCGCCGCTAGCTGTCCCCAGGGAATGCCTGTGCCATGTGCCCTCTGGCATGCAGGTTACCCCAGGTTGGGTAAGGGAGGCTAGGGCCAACACTGGCCTGCCCCAGCAGCCTTATGTGAGGTCCTAGATACCTCCGGGGGCTGCAGCAGTGGTAATCCTGCTGCGCAGAACCTGGCTGGCAGCCAGAGTGCGGCTCCATCCAACCAGACTCTGGTTTGAGCGGCGCTCCACTTTTTTGGGCAGGTTTTTTTGACCAACGGGAAAAAAAGCACAGAGAACAACTGAACACGTGGTATGTGGCATCACAGATGTGTCTGCAGCACCACATACTGCACGGCTGCGCTCATCTGAACACAGCCTAAGAGTGCAAAAAAACCAATGCTGCAGAATACAGTCACAAAAATGAAAACAGAAACCCAGGAAACCTGTGAACACTGCGAGAAACCCATGGAAACCCATTAACATCTTTTATTTCTGTCCAACAGTGTTAGGGTTAGGCGAAAAAAAAGGCAAAAAAAACCCCCAGGTTGTAGGCAAATAGAGGAGGAAGAGATTAAGGTAGAGAAATGAATTGGGGTAAGTTTAGCAAGGCTTTTAGAAAAATAGTAATTTTGAAACAGAGCCTCAAATAAACAAGGGAGCCAACTGAGATATTGGCAAGTGGGCAGCAGCCACATGCATCTTGGTTTAAATTTCACTCTGACATAACATTTACATACTTCAGTTTTTCCAGGGACCAGTAATGTGTTGCTCCATTCTTTAGATCCTGGACTTCCACAGCTACCACCGTCCGAGGGAAAGTTCTGTTATCCCGGGTCTTCTCTGTCTCAGGTGGCAGAAGCTCAGGGGGTAGAGGGGAGTACAGTGTGTCTGTCAGGAGGACAAACTGAAACTGCACCTGAATGGAGAAAACCAATTTTTTTACATTCTGTGAATATAAATAATGTCTGTAACTACAGAGATATTAGAAATAGGAGTCCTATTTCATTCTAATAAAAGGAACCCAAAAAAGCAGTTTCACGAAGACATGGGAATCCAATCCAATCAAAGCCACTTTTGATAAGATATACAACCCAGCATGGGGTTAAAGGTGAATAAGAAAAAATAATTTTATTTCTAATGGGGTTCTTTTGGAATGGTGAGTAAGGGAGGCAGCATAAGGAGGATGAAGGTCAGAAGAATGGATTAACAGTTTGCAAGCAATACTATTTCAATTCATAGAGGTAACTATAATATGGCATGAGTCTTGGAACAGTTTAAATGGCAATGCAGCAGAAAAAGAGCTAAGCAAAATTAAAGCGAAATTTAAATCTCTGCTAGTTTACAGCAAGATTATCAGAGTGCACACTTGCAAGTCAAGAGATTCAACAAGATGCTCTGCACACACTTACTTTCTTCTTCAACTCCACACTGATGGCATTGGCCTCTTTCAGATAGACAGCATTGCCCCAGAGCTGGTCCCTTAATGAAGTGAACTGGTGGAACTTCCATTTCCTGAATGCCCACTGGGCCAGCTCATACTCATGTTGTGTCCAGGGCACTGGGAAAAGCAAAGGAACAGCTGAGTCAAAGGTAGCAGTTTTCCCTCCAACCCAGACACTCAGACAAAAAAGGTGGTATCACACTTGACAGTCTCATCATGTTCTCATCATTTTCTCTGAAGTGATGAAATTGGAATTCCATTGCTCAATGAGTAAAACTAGTTCTAATCTTTTATGCCAAGCATAGGAAACTTAAGGTACACACAAGTCAAGCTTTTGGAGCAGTTCAACCAAAAATGCTAGTGCTCTGGTTACTGTCAAGTAATTAGCATTGCTTAAAAATAGAGAATACAAAAATGGAGAAATAAAACAGATATTAGTCTCTGCATCGACTGGATCACTCAACCATACCACCATACAATACAGCAAGGAAAAAGCATGGAGGGGTCTCACAGTTCAAGACCACCAAACAAATGCCGATTCCAATCCAATAGCTACGGGGTTGGCTTACATGAATTTGGGAGTCCTGGATCCAGTTCGCTTACCTACTGCTAATGTAGAACTGTTCTACAGATAAGTAATTTCAATCTCCAGAAGTCTCAAACTGGCACTTTTAGGGACTGCCCATTGTTTCACAATTTTCTAAAATTCTATTTCCAGCTCCAGCAAATGTCCCTATAATGCAGCTTCCTTTAGAACAGTAGAGGCCACCCTTTTTGACAGGCGTGCCACAAATTAGCCCTGCATCCTCCCTAAGTACCACTCTGATCTGCTGCTCCACTTCCCGTTCCCGGTCCTGTGCTCTTTGCCTGATCTGATGCTCTGCTTTCTGCTCCTTGACTTTTTGCCTATTTGCCACAAGCAACACATGGAGGCTGCCCACATTGTTGGCTTAGAAAGGCCTGTTTTTTGGGGAATTGGCTTCTAGGTATAGATATACACATTTGTTAAGATGGGCAGCTGGGGTTAAATGAATTTCTAAAGAGCTTGGGAGATGAACACGCAGCTTCTTATGGCCCTGAAGGAAGAAGGGTTGTCTAACACAACAAGGACACACAGCCTAGGAACCAAAGGCTGTATGTGCCATACTGTCCCATAACACAAGATAAGTGACACCAGCAACAAGGCCTCAGAGAGAAGGGGGGCCTAAATCCTGGATTTGGGGGAACAAACCAAATTAGGGGAAGGCCCAGAAGGCTATGTGGACATGTGAGACCACAGAGAGACAACCAACCAAAGATAGCCATGGTGAGGAGTCTTCAAGGGGAAGGAGAACACAAAAGCAGAGACTTGAGAGTAACAAAGGGTCCCTTCCATCCCTCCCTATCCCTCCCTCTGTCCCATCCCTCTGCCCCTCCCCGTTTTGCTCCCTGAGAGGGGTCTCCATCCCTATCCCTGTCACTCAGGAAGGGTCCCCAAGGTCACCATGGACCAAGGGCATGCCAGTAGCCTGTCATGCACCCCACTGGGGGGACTGTGGGCCTCAGCATCCCACCTCCAGACTGCTGACACCTAAGAGAGAGAGCCTCAGAGTGGAGTCTGCATCCTGATCAGATGTACTTGGACTCTAATGACAGTCCTAGGATTGGTAGATACAGAATTGTTTGACTGTTTGTATCGTTGCTTTTTTGTTATCACTCTGTATCAATAAATTTGCCTATTATCAACTGGCAGGTCCTGTGGTCAATCTGAGGGTTGTGCCTGCCCGGAACAAAGGTATAGGTGCAGGGTCCAAATCCAGTGTCAACAATGTCACTTGTGGCACCCGTGCTGCTGGATGCCCATCCCAGTTTTAGAAAACCTACCCCCCCCAATAAAACAGTTAAAAACACTCTTTTTTTTAAAGCTTACCCTCCTCCTCTTCCTCCTCCTCTTCTGTTGTCTCAGCAACTAGGGATCTTGTCTCAACCTGCTTCTGCAAAGCCTGCAGTTTGCTCTCATAGTCCTGTGGGGAAAGAGGAGATACCATGTAGGAGAAGGACAGACGAAAGTGAAGAGGAGACAGCCAAAGAAACATGAACATTTCAGAGGGAGTGACAGAGACACAGGGAGACAGCACATGTGGACAGACACTTCCATACAACTGGAAGAGATCAGATTGCTCCAGAAAATAATTAAAAAACACAACAAGCTTTTCAATCAACTTCCCCCTTCCCCCTCAAACCTTCAAGAAAGAAAAGATGAAGGGTGTATCCACAAGACAGGCCAGTAGAACTACAACTCGTTTTGCTTATTAATCAGATGTCCATATATCCAATGCAATAACAGAAGGATTTTATTTTTCTTCTTAATTGAGGAAAAGTTGGAACATCCAGAGGACATCTGAATACTTGTTGGTATTACTTCTCTATTGTAATATCGCCATGAGTGTTAACAAAGCACATTTTGCATAGTGTTTGGGACTAACAAATGGACAGCCCATAATTTCACCCTGATACAAATACTTACAAAAGAAAATCCTCAGGTCAGATAAAGTAACCTAATGACCTTGGAAGGATTTAAAAAAAAACAACAAAAAAACCAAAAAAATCCCAACATGAATAAGCTTAAAAAGAAGGGTTCTGAAGCTTAAGCACTACTCAATAAGTCATTTCTGTGAAACACATTTATTCTCTGAACATCTCTGTATTGTGCTGTACATTGTATAGTCTGGCAACAAGGGAATAGAAAGGAAAGATGGTCCATCTTGATTCAATCAATATAGTAAAGGGTTAGAAGCATTGCAGAATTTTATCTTTTGATGCAGAATTAGTTTTATGATTTAAAATGAAGCTACTTTTTTTAAAACGTTCCCATTTCCTTGCATGTGAATGCAATCCTCCATCATGTATATATTTGATTTCTCAAGGGAGGAAAATAATGTAATGGTTTTTACTAGATAAAGAGACTGACTGCATCTAGGGCAAAAGCAAGTTTAATTCTCAGCACATTCCAATCCCATTGCTAAGAAAACCAGACATTTCTGCCACCCCGCTCTTCTCTCGTTTGGTGAAAAATTCACATATGCCCCAGATTTACAGAGACTCACGAAACACAAAAATGGATCAGGAATATAAGTACAGAGTATTTTTCCAATTATTTTGTGTGTTGGGGAAAGATCAAGATCTCAGTGGAAAATGTTTAAGCTGTTACTCCTTCCAAAAAGGAGTTGCTTGGACAAACCAAGTCTGAGTATATTGCTGCAAACCAGACTGGAGGAGAGGGAACGTGGAAGCGTGCAGCAGCAGAAGGAAGAAAATTTCTCCCAAAAGTCCTTTATGAGGAACACTGCAAGAAGGGAAAATTAGTGTATCTAAGTAACTTCACAGAGAACTCTGTGCAGAGGCTTGCCCAATAAAAGAGAGAGTACTGCCTACCATTCATGGAGATGCAAAGAATTTAAATGGAATCATGTGGGCATTTAATCCTACATCTCAAGCTTTAGAGCAGATGCCAATTGGGGTACGGGATGAAACAGAAGCTTAACAGTGTAACAGGCAAGAGTTTTTCTTACAAAATCCAATATCGAAGCTGCTAATCATGAAGAGTTGAGCAAAACTGCCTGATTTAACTAGAATCAAAAGGCTTTGCTCTTCTACTTCCGTAGCTCTTCCCTGGAACATATACTCTTTTGAGGACATAAAAAATATGGCACAAGGCTGCTGGACAGTGCAAAAGCCACTATAATATTGGCATGGGACTGAAAAGTCAGGGGGCAGTTACTACTGGCATTTAATATTGAGGTTCTCCTCTTTTGGGGGGGAAATCACTTATAACGCAGGATAACTTCCCTTTATGTCACAGCTTTGTTTATTTCAGCAACTCTGACTTATCTCATGCAAGGCCATGGAACACATGGATGGGCTAGTTTCCCCCCGACCTTTTTTAAGTCATGCCACTGCACTTACAGTTTCTCCCCTAAAATTTTGGAGCTGTCTTTTAAAAACAACAGTGTTCAGCCAGCAAAGTCTCTAGACTGTCTCCCAGACCACGCATGACTCTCATAAGTGAGAGCTCGAGGATTAGAGGGCTGCAATAAACTGCGCCAAGAGCCTCCACCAATCCCTCCTGCACTCCACAAATGAGTATTTTCATCTCATCCATCTACGCGCAGACACACAATTTTCCACATGCATACACAGGCTCAGCTCTACTGTACTGGATTATTCAACAATGAGAGGGGGTTTCACGCATTTATGTGCACCTCTTTCACCTGTACATCTGATACTATACTGAAGAGAAGAGCTTTGACTTTTAAAGGAACATAATGTCTTTGTAGAAGAAAATTTGCTGCAGAAAATGTGAAGCAACTACTGTTTCTAGTCCTAAATTTATTTGGTTTTCAGAAATAACAGGAGGCATGGGAGTAGTAATTATGTAATTTTTGAGAGTCCAATACGGAAAGTTGCAGCATCAAGTAAAATTGGTTTGAACAGTCCCGGTCTGCTTTGGAACCACAGCATGCATGGGGAGAATGACTGTGGAAACTGAGGGAAGAATCTTAAAGAGCCAAAGATCTTATTTTGATAATTCATATAGAAAGCTGAAAAGCAAATAAGCTGACTACAGCACACAATAGTCCATGAATAGAGTGGCTTTGCACTGAAATGCAAAACCGTCTTCATGCTGTACTAAAACAAGGCTCTTAGAGAATCATGCACCCAATTTTATGGGGTTTTTTAAAATCTTCCAGTGAGACTTGACTTGGGTTCTGCTTATGTGACCTTCTCCTGCTCCCACAACCAGACTGAATGGTTGAAAGCAAGCCACATATATAACATGTTAAGAGATTATGAACTTGGCAAGGACCTAACAAAAAGGTCAAAAGTCTCCTTACCTACTTTCCAAATGCAAAAATATTAGAGGGGCTGAGTGATGTGAAAAGTTAAAGGAACTGACACAACTAAATACACTGACACGGACAGCAGAGAACACCCCTAGATGAGAAACCCTCTTTCTAGGTAAGAAGCAGTTCAGCACTTGTCTTTACATACTGAGCACCTGCAGTTAATCAGGAACAAAGTATTCTCAAGTAACTGCACGCCATGCATGGACATATTTATTCCGCAATAAAAATCTTATTCCTGCTTAACTTAATCGACTTTTTAATTCCCATAAAGAGTTATTTTGCTTGAATTTGTAGTCGATAGGAAAGGCATTTTCCACAGCCATGTTCTTTGATCAAGGTATTACTGGGCGCCTTCAGAAGAATTTCAAGCCATTTATCTGGCACTTCAAACCTTGCTCTCGGCTCACTGAAAGGTTTAAAACCCCAGATTCATTCTCTTCTCTTTAACGCATTTTCTGCAGTGACAAATTATTATGTCCAGAGTAATGAAAGGGACAGCACTACATAGTTCCCTTATTGCATTAAGGGAACATATTATCTTGGTTTAAACCTTACTTAAATAATCTTAGTTCACCTGAAAATCCCAGGCAATTGAATCAGACCCTCAAAGCAGTTTTTAGCTGGGTCAGTACTTTAACAGGAGATCTGAAAGCACAACCAGTACCAAAAGGAACAGACTCAGATTCTCAGAAGGTGGCACTGTTCCCTCTAGGTACTGAAAGAAGGTCCCAGTGTGGTGGCATTAGGAAGGTGGCTGCTGACTAAAAAGATATTAAACACTTGAGGTCGTTAAGGAACCTCAGCTCTTTATAAAAGGACATCAGGTCCTGTCTCTGGGTCATATTTTAAGTCCCTAAATTTCTACTTAAATTTTCAGTTCGGTACATCGATTCATCCTGAACTGTAGCTGTGACATTCTTTGGCTGAGATTACTCCATTAGCAATAGCTAAAAGGTGGGATCCTTCTGTCCAGTTGGTAGAGCTAATAATTAAGTTTTAACCCATTAGGAACAAAAACCAACAAGCAAAATAAAGAACCAAACCAAACAAAAAAACCTGTAGATAGAATCTAGACATCTATTCTTAAAATAGCCCAATTTGAAGTCGTTAGATTTCTAATCTGTGAGGATGGATATTTTTGCAAGGAAGTGGGGAAGTGTCAGCCTACGTTGAGCAATGTAGAATACACAAAGGTAGCCACCTCCTCTAGATAAAGTCTTTTTTTCCCCAACCAAGTGGATAAGGCTGTAACATTTGAAGGAGATAGGGAGCTATGTAATGAGGTCTGAGAGAAGACAAGCTCCTCAAATATTGAAACATTTGAAGGACAGAGTAGGATTTATTTTCTTGGAATTCAAGAGCTTTTAGAGAAGATCTGAAACGGAGGCTATGGACAGATGCATCTTCAAGTCTCTTTAAGCCACTCAGGATCTTGTATCAGCCATTATGGGGTTACATCTTCATGGTCCTAGAGCAACACAAGCGAGCTAAATCAGGCAACTTTAACCCTGAATGAAGCAGGGTTAAGGTTACAAGGGTTTTGCTACACTTTCATTGCTGCAGGAGCATGTAAAGGTACCAGGTACATCCTAACAGCACATACAGGTATAGTTCTATACCAATAAAAAGTTCCTGCATTTTTCTACACCCCTCAATTTGAGCAGTTATGTACTGAGCAGAGAAAATGCTGTAGAAGAAAAGGATCCAGGAAAGGTGCATTTCAAACAATATTCATTGCCATGGTGCATTAAATCAACTCTGTAGGTATCAAAGATGGGCAGAATCTTTATTCTGATTCTTTCAAAGATGCTTAAAGGCTGCAGGATAAGAAGCAACATATTAGTTGAGTATAAAGATTAAAAAAAACCACATTCATTGTCTTCCCTCTTCTGTAGCACCCTTGACTCCTCTTGAGTGAATCATAGTTTTTTTATATTTAATTGTCTAGATATGCAAACATTTATTATAGCAGATCATCTTTTTTTTTTTTCTTACCCCTATAATACCAAAAGAAAAAGCTATTTTTAAAACAGTGGATTAAGGTCAGGTTTGTTTTCCCAGAATCAGAAGAGGAAAATGGCAACATTTCACCAATTAAATAAGTCTGGTATGATGCG